ATAGGATTCACCCTGGCAGATAAGGTGGATGGACCGTTCTTTCTGGAAATAGATTTTATTGGTGTGTTTACTGATCCAGCCCATACAGAAGAATTTGCTTATGAGAATTCTCCAGCTATTAGCCCAGGACTTTTCAAATAGAGAACTGGGGGCAGACTTGAGTAAAATTGAGTAGTGGTCACAAAATACAAAAATAAAGCTTTTCTGTCTCCCACCTCCCCGCAACCTTTTTCTGCTGTGCTCGGCGTAGGGTAAGAAGGGCCAGTGAAAGAACACCCTGGCCTTGAGACCAGAGCCAAGGAAACACACCCTGCCCATAACCAACGCAGGACCTGAAGTTCAGCCAACCGCTGAGCATGAGAACAATCCCTGAATACAAAATCCAGCTAATCTGAGTTTGTCCCAGACTCAGGAAGTGAGACCCTACCAACCCACATCACCTTGGAAAGTTCTAACCTTAAGAACCCTAGATAAGCCCTATGCCTGTTCAGTTTGGGGCTGGCTTTTTTCTACCCTGGCAGAGGCGGACACCCTCCTGGATTCTTCCCTCCCAATAAACTCGAGTGAGGTTTGTTGTAATGCCTTTCTTTCTCCAGAGCAGAGTGGAGCAGAGACTCTAACAGCCTCACCCTCGCTGGGCCTGGCTGTCCCCTGCTGAAGCAGTCATTACACTCCCGTTGGGGAAACCTTTCCTGGAGCAACGGCTGTAACACTTTGCTGGAATCCACCCCACTGGAATAGAGCTGTAACACTTCCTTTGGGTTACCTTTCTTTCCTAGCTGTAGGTATTCCTTGGCTTCCAACTTCCAAGTCACCTTTCCCTTAAGAGCTTTAACACTTGCACTGGGAACTGAAATTGAACCCAGGGCCTCATGTATGTTAGGCAAACATGAGCTATGTTCTTGTCCCAAAAATGAGTACTTTCCCCTCCTTTGTTTTGCTTTGTTTTGTTGTTGTTTTTTGAGACAGGGTTTCTCTATGTAGCCCTGGCTGTCCTAGAACTCACTCTGTAGACCAGACTGCCTTGAACTCACAGAGATCCACCTGCCTTTGCTCCCCAAATGCTAGGCTAAGAGGCGTGCACCACCACCCCCAGCTGGCTGAGCATTTGTTTAATGGCAGCGCGTGTTGTACATATTCCTTACGGTTAAATGCTGTTGTGAAGGGAGAGCAGGTAAGAGGAACCCAACATGAAACCAGGGCTGGGTTTTAGCTATGGAGGCACAGTGAAAGGAATGCATTTTCCAGAAAGTTCCTGAACAAGCATGTCCTATAAGGAGGCAGCTTTCAAAGGAGGCATCTCTGGGGCAGTTTTGGTTGATCTTATATCACTCTGCCCTCCTGTTTCCAAACTGACCTTTGAGGGAAGGAGTCTGCTAAATAATTTGAAGATAAAATGCCATGGAAGTCACTGGAAAATGGGATAGCTCAGTAGAGAGCTTGCTTCCAAAGACATGAACTTACTTTCAGGGGCTTCTTACATAACTTGCCAACAGGAGAGATAGACTGTGGGTGCTAAAGGGTCTTGTTCATTTAAAAACGTGAGCCTCAGAGATGGCTCGGTAGGTAAAACCTACTGCTCTAACAGAGTACCCAGGCTCTGTTCCCAGCACCCACAAGCATCTGTAAGTGGAGTTCTAGGGGAACTGAAGTCCTCTTCTGGCCTCCACAGGCACCAGTCACAAACATGGTACACAGATATACATGCAGTCAAAACACCCATGTAACCCTGTCTCTCATGAAAGTTTGTGGACCAGGCTGGCCTCAAACTCAGAGATCCGTCTGCCTCTGCCTTCCGAGTGCTGGAATTAAAGGTGTGTACCACTACCACCTGGCTTGAATGAAAAAAAAATTTTTTTTTAAAGATTTATCTATTTTTTATGTATACAGTATTCTGCCTGGATGTTTTGGATGTCAGAAAACAGCACCAGATCTCATTATAGATGGTTGTGAACCACCATGTGATTGCTGGGAATTGAACTCAAGATCTCTAGAAGAGCAGCCAGTGCTCTTAACCTCTGAGCCATCTCATCAGCCCTTAAATTAAAAATTCTTAAAGACGTATTTTTGTTTTATGTGAACTGTGGTTTTGCCGGCCTGTCTGGTCTATGTATCGTGTGTGCAGTGCCCATGGCAGCAGGAAGAAGGTATTGGATGCCCTGGAACTGGGATTACAGACTGCTGAGAACCAGAGCGCCCTGCCCTAGGAGACACAGTTCCAAATAGGATATTTTTTTGTTTGTTTGTTTTTCGAGACAGGGTTTCTCTGTGGCTTTGGAGCCTGTCCTGGAACTAACTCTGTAGACCAGGTAGACCAGGCTGGTCTTGAACTCACAGAGATCCACCTGCCTCTGCCTCCCGAGTGCTGGGATTAAAGGCGTGCGCCACCACCGCCCGGCCCAAATAGGATATTTAAGAGCATTTTTAGCACCTCTCCTAATGCCCATTTTATATATTTATATGTAATAACTCTTAAATTTTAGAAGCTAGGCTGTGGTGATACATACCTTTAATCCCAGCACTTGGGAGGCAGGATCAAACCAATTTCTGTGAGTTAAGAGGCCAACCTGGTGTACAGAGCTTGTTCCAGGACAGCCAGGGCTTCACAGAGACCCTGTCTCAACCTCCTCATCACCCCCCCAAATTTTTCTATTCAAAAATCAATTTTGAGTATCTTCATTTTAATCTCTTATAAGAGTCAGACATGAACTATATCTTCATTTAAACCTTTGGTTTCTTTTAGTAGTGTTTTATATTTAACATATGAATCTTCACTATATTTTGAGTATGAAATGGCTCTCAAAGGCCCATGTCCTAAAGGTTTGATTCTTGTCTGAGGTATTATGGGGTGTGATAAATCCTTTGGAAATTGTTGGGCATTGTTTTTGTTGTTTTGAGACAGTCTCACTATATAGCTTTGGCTGGCGTGGAGCAAACTATATAGACCAGGCTGGCCTTAAACTCACACAATCCTGCCTCTTTGCCCCAAGTGCTGTGATTAAAAGTATGAGCCACCATTAGTGGTTTAAATGGGTACCCAGTTGGTGGAACTGTTTGGGAAGGACTTGGGGGTGTGGCTTTGGTGAGGAGGTGTGTCACTGGGGGTGAACTTAGAGGTTTCAAAAACCTTAGGCTCTCTCTGCCTCCTATTGTGAATAAGGATGTAAGTAAGCTCTCAAGTCCTGCACCAGGAACATGCCACCATGCCTGCCTGCCTTGCTCAATGCTCCCCACCGTGGCTGTCATGGACTCTAATGACTGGAACTGTGAGCCCCAAACTGAACATTTTCTAGGAGCCTTGGTCATAGTGTTTTGTCACAGCAATCAAAAAGTAAAATAAGATGCCACTACACCCAGTTAGTTTATTATTTTTTTAAGATTTAATTTTCAGGTCAGGCGATAGGGGCACATACCTTTCATCCCAGCACTTTGGAGACAGAGGCAGGAGGATCTCTGAGGATTCTGTAGGCCAGCCTGGTCTACAGAATGAATTCCAGGACAGGCAGGACAGAGAAACCCTGTATCAAAAAACCAAAAAGAAAAACATTTAATTTTAAAAAATTTTGTGTGAGGGTGTATGCACATGAGTGCTGATGGCCATGAAGGCTAGGAAGGGTGTGGAATCCCCCCTTAGGTAGAGCACTCATATGTACCCACACACATGCACATAATTTAAAAATTAAATCTTTTATTTCTTCTTGGTTGTGAGCTGCATGACTTGGTTACTAAAATCTTGTCCCATGAGAGTTAGTACACACCTTAACCACTGGACCTTCTGTACAACTCTAAGGGTTTTTTCCCCACTTCTGGCACTGGAAGTCAAACCCAGGGCCTTTTGCATACTAGGAAAGAGCCCCCACCAAGTCACACCAGCTAGCACTATGGTTTATTTCTGAAAGGGGCTCACGTAGCTAAGGCAGGCAAACCTCCGATCCTTCTGCCCCTACTTCCTGAGTACTGGATCATAGGTTTATGCACCACACTCAGCTCAGCTTTATGGATTTCTGGTATATAAATAGAACTGTTGGCTATTAACCTGGTTCTCTACTGTTTCTAGTAGAAAGTGCAAGGCCTTCTTTACAGCCAGGCATGATGATATACACCTAACTCAGCAGGCACTTGGGAGGTAGAGGCCAGTGGATCGGGAGTTCAAGGTCATCCTCGGATACAAAATGAGCTTGAGGCCAGTATAAGCTACCCGAGACCCTATTTCAAGAAAAAATTGTTGTGGAAGAGAAGTGGGTGTGGAGGATGTGTAAGTACTTACAGGCCTTGGATGCCATCTAAATCCTGGACAACTTATATTTAAAAAGAATGAACCTATCACAATGAAAACATTTTATTTTATGACAATCATAAGCGTTACACACAACTCAGAATCTTCACATGGCAGAGCAAAGAACTCAAGGGTGTGTTTAGCTGCTCTCCTCTCTTCCTTACAACTAGGAAGGCTTAAGTCTGACAGAGATGGGAGCCTGGATAGCTGTAATTCCCAGTTTTGCTTTTGATGAGAATCTCAGTTCCTGAGATTGGTACCAGGGTCAAATCCAGGGTCCAATGTGTGGTACACAAGGCTGTACAACTGAGGCACACATACCCTCTGCCCTATGGCTTTTATTAACAAGTAGAAAGAGCTAAGGCATTCTGTTTTAAAAATATGAGTGACAGTTGGCAATTACATGAAATCATCTGAATAAGACTCCTATAAGCTAAGGCATGTTTTTTACCTTGATAAAAGTGATCCATAACCAAATTGACAGGATCGTTAGGTTTCCAGACAGTGAAGGCAGAGGTGGTCTCTCCAGCCTCCCTTCCCTGTGGACTGTATCTCACTCACACTTGCACGCTAAGCTTTTGCCATGGCTTGCTGCCACAATGGAACTGCTTCTGTCCAGAAAGGACGCGGGCTGTCTCTCTTAGAACTACAGGACCTTGGCATGGAAAACCCACGTCAAGAACCCCAAGGACAGGTCTCTTAAAAAGCAGAGTTCTACAGGACAATAGGTGAAAACCACTTTAGTTATGAACTTACAAGTGAGAATGTATTTTCAGAGCTATAGCACACAGAGAAAAGATACTCCACAAATTATGCCCGAAAGTTATGGTAGAAAGAGAGCTTTCGACTGGAGTAGAGGAGGTGATGAACATTTACAAAAGAGAAACAAGTTGGGAGTCAAGGGATTGGCGGATCACTGGGCTTTAGTCATAACCAGGTTTCTGCGAGCGTCCAGGACCTTTGCTTTCCTCTCCTTCCGTTCTTGCTCGTGCTTCTTCCGTTGCTCTTCCCTAAGAGGGACAGACAGGTTCTGTTAGGCTTGATGTAGGTGCTCCGGAAGACACTGTAAAGAACATACTGCTGAGGGGGTAGCTAGTTATAGCATCTACCTCAGGCTCCTCCCAACATCCGTCAGCACTGCATGCAAAGGCTGCAGGTTGCCATAGTAACTCAGCACTCTAAAGTCACGCATGAACAAGAACCAGAGGACACCTTGGTGACTGAATTCGGTGCCTGGACTTCAAAAAGCAGTTTTAAAGAATGAGAAGTCGAACATATAGTTTGGCCACAGTACTAGAACTAGGGTCCACTGACTAGAGACAAGAAAAGAAAGACCCCCCCAGGCTCATGCTATCTTATAGGGAGTAAAAGGTCTTGGTGGCAATGGATAGAGGCACGAGGTGGATGATAGGTAACCTGCATGGGGAGAGTCCTAGGCAGTAAATGTGATTCAGCCCAGACCAGCTGCAGCCTCTCAGGCCCACACCTGGCTTCGGTTTGCATGGGGCCTCACTCCTTACATGCCTAGTTTGCCTGAGAGTGGAGAACTTGTACCTGCTCATAACTGAGCACTAGTGTCTGCAGGGATAGTTACATGTGCTGTTGGGAACAGGTCCCACAGAACTTGAAGCAGTAATTCATGGTGCATTGCGAACCCAGTTTGGAATCCATTTTTCTAGAGCTGAAAATACTTAACAAAATTTATAATTTTAGATAGGTTACCATAGGCAGGCAGTGTGAGCACATGTCTTAGTCCCAGCACTTGGGAGGCAGAGGCAGATGGCTCTCTGAATTAAAGGTCAGCCTGGTCTACAGAGTGAGTTTCAGGATAGCCAGGTCTACAGAGAGAAACCCTGTCTCAAAAACAAAACCAACCAACCAACCAGACAAAAAACTTCAAACCCTTACAAAACAACAAAAAAAGGCACACTATGGTGTATTCCAGGCCCTAGCTCACTTTAAAGTAAGTTCTAATAGCGGCTGACTCTAAAGGTGACTTAAATCTGGTTTATCTAAGCTTGGTCCCTAATGTAACCAAGCTTAGATAAACCAGATTTAAGTCACCTTTAGGTGGTGGGATCCTTAGCAGATGGGGCCCTGAGGAAAATAAAATTAGGTTATGGAATTAGGTTATGGGTACCACCCTTGGAAGTGATTAATGCCAAGCCTCAGGAATAAACTAGTTCTTCAGGGAGGAAGCTGTTAAAAAGACAGCAGAGCCAGACGTGGTGTTGCACACCTTTAATCCCAGCACTCGGGAGGCAGAGGCAGGTGAATCTCTGTGAGTTTGAGGCCAGCCTCGTCTGCAGAGTGAGTTTCCAAGAGAGGCTCCAAAGCTACAGAGAAACCCTATATTTTCTTATTTTTTTAAATATTAAAAAAAAAAGAAAGAAAAAGAACAAAAGACAGCAGAACCCTTTCCCATTGCTTAGTCCGTACATCTCCCGCACAGTCAGGCCATTTGCCATCTTGTGACATAGCCTAAGATTCTACCAGCACCTTGGGCTTCCAGAACTTTAAGTCGAAACTAAACCATTCTCTGCAGAATGTTTAGTCACACACAAATGGCAGAGAGCACTCTCTTCTGACACTCCTTTGAAGCCTACCCCTCACTTTGGTACACTGTGGTTTGAAATTAGAAACTGAGATATTATGTACTCACCTGGTGTGGAGATGAGGCTGCTTGTAAGTTCTCCGGTGGAAGCTAACTCTGCTCACACCCTCCTTCAGAGAACTGTTTTCTTTAGATTGCCCCCAAGGTTTCAGCTTTCCTGGGTGAGGAAAAGGACAGGGTTAATACTCTGCTTGATAGATATTTACATGTATTTTCTGTAGTGTATCTTGATTTCACTGTGAATAGTTTCCTCTAAAAGTAATGTGCTTTAATAAAAACCTTTACCATTATTGTGTTTGTATGAGCGTGAGGACAGGTTTGGAGAGCTGGTTCTGTCCTCCTCCACCAGTTCTGGGGATGGAACTCAAGACGGTTGGAGTTATGCAGCTGGCCTCTACCCACTCAGCAGCTCACTAGCCTGGGGCATATATTGTTTTTGAGTACAAAGATTTTTCCCCCACATTTATTTGTGTGCATTGCCATGGAACACAACACGATTTGCTGCAGTTGGCTCTCTCCTTTCACCACATAAGTCCTAGGAATTGCAAATTTAGGCTGTCAGATTTGGTGGCAAGTGACTTTACCTGCTGAGCCATCTTTCTGGTCCTGGTGTCAATTTGTTTTAAACTCTGAGGAAGTCATGGGGAAAAGCCCTAATACAAGGGCTTGAGAGGGCTCAGTCCTCTCAAGAGTACTACTGTTCTCATCCCCACAGCTCCTACAACTCCAGTTCCAGGATATTGGATAACTGCACTTACATGCAGACAGAGAGTACACAGAATGTTTTTAAAAATCTAAACAAATACCAACAACTAAATTTGTTGTTAATTTAATTATACATCAGACTAAATAAAACAATTAAATCAAACAATTTATCTTAAAATTGTGCATTATGTTTATTAGCATTTAAAAATAATTTCACATGTTTAAGATTTTAAAGATGTTTTGAATTACTTGCAGACGTGTGTGTGGGTGTATAACACCTTGTGTGGGTACTGTGCACGGCAGCTCACACTAGTAATTCCACACCTTGGGAAGCTGAAGGAAACGAAAGGCCATGAGTTCACGGGTACACTGGGAGGGAGTTTCAGACTGGCTTGGGCCACAGAGTGAGACCCAGAATCAAAAGCCACTCTGCTCCCAGCCAGCACGACATGACAGCGTGGTCTTGTTCTCCTGCTGCCTTGTTGGACCGGATCTGCCTAGAGCTACTGTGACAGGCCAGCCTCATGCTCTTTCCCATCACCTTCACCAAAATGAACTGGACCCACCCCCAAATGGAAGGCACAATAAACCCTGTCTCTTAAAAAGTCACAATAAAGATCAAACAACAAAACACCATACACAAAATAAAGTCAGTCTGATATATACCTCAGAACTGCTGAGAGCAGAACTAAATATTCTTTTTTTTTTTTTTAAAAAGGGGGGGTTAAAAAATTTAAAAAGTGAAGAGCCCATCATTCTGAAGTTCAAAGACATTCATTCTTGGCTTTAAGCAAATTTGAGGACAGCTAGAACACTTGAAGTTCTATCTCAAAACAAAGGAAACTCAAACGGATATTTCTGTACCTGTCTGTCACGGGACAGAAAGGCTGCACAGGAGACCCTTGGGCTGACATCATCATCGACAAGTTATATTCTCAATCAACAAATGCCTAGCAGATCAGTTGGATTCTGCTCGGTGGGAACTCTTAAGTCAGAAACTCATGTGGAAGCAGGGGCACAGATTTCCATAGTAGGATTCTTCCAAGTCATAGAATTTTTTTCTCTTCTTTTGCAGTGTTTGGGGATCAAATTCAGAGTCTCATGACTGCCAGGAAGCATTTTGCTACTATATATCTTATAATAGTACACACACACACACACACATGCACGCACACCACACATACACACACACATGCACACGCACACCCCTCTAGGGTCTTTGATGTGTTTTGATGCAGAGCTGTTTACCATCACCCTCCAGCCTTGCCCTTCCCAACAATCCAACCACATACCTTTGTGTGGCTTGTAGTTGAGGGGCCGAGACAAGCTTGCCTGGAGATCAAAGACTGGTTTCTTACTAGAGCCTGGAGTCTGTGCTGCTTCAGCTGCCAACTTGAATGGGGTAACAACTGAAAACACAAAACAAAAACCCAAACAAATAAAACACCAAAGAACTTAATTTATTTTTTTGTTTTTTGGGACATGGTTTTGCTATGTAAGAGCCCTGGCTGTCCTGGAACTCACTCTGTAGCCCAGGCTGGCCTTGAACTCACAGAGATCTGCTTGCCTCTACCTCCCAAGTGATGGGATTTAAGGCATGCACCACCAGCACCTGACTGGATTTATTAATTCTTAATTTGGCATGATCTGATTTATTGCATTGGTGGAGAGACCCAATTCTAGGACACAGAAACCTTTCAATGGTGTCTCTTCATAGCAACAGAACAGGGACTAATACTAAGGTTTGCCATCTGAGCATGCGACTGGAACGTGAGAGGCCTCTACTAGGTCCCAGCCGCACTAGGATCCTGATTTAGCCTCCAGAGCTAAGATATTTCTTTCGCTATAACCATTTATTTATTATAAGAGGCAGAATTAATCTGTATGGGTCATTGATGTAGATGTTGGGCTCAAAAGCAGGAAAGAAGGGGTGTGAGCTCGATGAGGAACATAACCAGTGAGGTTTGTTCCCCGGTTAGCAGCCCCTGAATATTCTGAATGGTTCAACCTTTTCTAGGGTCACCTGAGTACAGAAGCCTTGAAATAGCTGAGCGCTGGGGAGATGGCTCAGCAGATAAAGGTGCTTCCAATGAAGCCTAACCACCGGCGTTTGACCCCTGGAAACCCACATGGTGGTAAGATAGAGTGAGCCCCACAGTTTGACCTCTGACCTCCAAATGTGTGCTCTGGCACACGTGCATGTGCATACATATACATACATGAGCCTTTTTTTTTTAAATAAAAAAGAGGAAAGCAGATAGCCATCACAGGGAGTGACAGGGTACGACTCTAACTTCACTTGCGAGGTGAAGGAGGGAAGACTGGAGTTCAAGCCAGCCTCAGCTGCACTGTGCGTGAGAGACAGACAGACACACAGTCAGAAACAGGCACAGAGAGATCACACACACATTTTGAGGTAAGATACACAATGGCCTGGGTCTCACCTATTGGTGACCTTAAGGGAGTTGGTCATTGTCTACATCTCCCTGGCACTGTCAACACATCCAGCTTTCTTTTGTTAAACAAAGGTTCTAGGATTTGAACTCAGGTCCCATGTTTAAAAGACAAGTGCTTCAGATGTGGTGGCACACATCTTTAATCCCAACAATGGGAAGGCAGAGGCAACCGGATCTCAGTGAGTTCAAGGCTAGCTTGGGCTATAAAGTGAGTTCCAGGACAGCCAGAAGTATTATACTGAAAAATCCTGTCTTGAAAAAAATAGACACGTGCTTTTACTCACTAAGCCATCTCCCAGCCCCGGCCCCTTGAATTTAATTTTCCTTCTTCCTATTCAGTTAGGCGATGACCCCATTAGAGGCCCTGTGTCTCCAGTCCGATTACTATCAGCGGTGACTTCTCCAGTCGGAAACCACGGATGGTTCTGGTCTAGCACCAGCTATCACCTGACATTTTCAAGGGATTCTAAGGAGAACCTTGATGTGTGTGAGTTTAGAGCTAATGTCTCTGGCATTTCCTGCACCATTGCAAATGAAGAATATGCTATGACTTTTTTGTCCTTGATTTTATACACATGAAGAGACCTTAGAGAAAGAGATATGCTTGGTTTCAGAAGTTCTAAAACTGTTTATGTATTTATTTATTACCTGCAGTAGTAGAATTCCTCTCTGTGGTCTTTAACTTAGGTGTCCTGAACACAGCCTGGCCTTTTGAAGCACTCCCGGTTAGGGTCACACATGGAGACTTTCTGGCTGGAGTCTTGGTCAGGGAGTACTTATGTTCATTATCCTTGGTAGCAGCTGAAAACCTAAATGCAGTCATGGAGAGAGAGCTGTGAGGACTTGGAACAAGAGTAACCAAGGTCACCGAGAACTTGTAGTAGAAACACTGGCCGGCACCAGGCGATCCATGAGCCTCAGGAAATACTGCTATGTGAATCGACCTCTCTCACACAAAAGACATGTTTGTGTCAACTTCCATTATTCGTAAAGTAAGTTTTGAGGGGCTGGAGAGATAGCTCAGCAGTTAAGAGCACTGGATGCACATACAGAGGACCAGGGTTCAGTTCCCAGCACACACATGGCAGTCCACAACCATCTGTGACTTCAGTTCCAGGGGATCTGACACCTTCGGGCTGGCCAGAAGCACAAGACATACAAGTGGTACACACACATGCAGCCAAATGCTTACACACATTAATAAGTCTTTAAAAATAATAAATAAAGTACGTTTGTGTAGTTTCTGGTATTCTTGTGTTGGTCGATGACGGACTTGGAGGGCAATGGGACTCAAGGTCCAGGGCAGGAATCCAGAGATGCCGTCCTTTTGCCTTTTCCTCCTGGCCACATCAAAGGGATGGGAGACTATTCTGCCAGGGATGCCATGGTAACATCTGCCTCGAACAACCTCATTTGGTGGAGTGGAGCATAAATGAACTCACTCTTTATTCATGCCAAATGTAAGACATGTATTTTTGTGATTGTGCTCTCTAGTTTCATGTCAAGTTGACACAAGCTAGTATTATCTAAAATGAGGGAAGCTCAACTGAGAAAATGCCTCCATAAAACCCAGATGTAGGGCATTTTCTTAATTAGTGATTAATGGGGGAGGGCCTAGCCCATTGTGCGTGGTTCTGTCCTGGGCTGGTGGTCCTAGTTCTGTAGGAAAGCAGACTGAGCAAGTAAGCAGCACCCTCCATGGCCTCGGCACCAGTTCCCGCTTCAGGTACTAGCCCTGCTTGAGTTCCTGTCCTGACTTCCTCCAATAATGAACAAGGATGTGAAAATATAAACAAATAAACCCTTTCCTCCCCTTTACAGCAATAGTAACTGTAACTAAGACATGATTCTACATTTCAATAGCTCTGAAAACAACAGGTGTGAGCCGGGCGGTGGTGGTGCACACCTTTACTCGGGAGGCAGAGGCAGGCAGATCTCTGTGAGTTCAAGGCCAGCCTAGTCTACAAGAGCTAGTTCCAGGACCCAGGACAGGCTCTAAAACTACAGTGAAACCCTGTCTCGAAAAAACAAGGGCTGGAGAGATGGCTCAGTGGTTAAGAGCATTGCCTGCTCTTCCAAAGGTCCTGAGTTCAATTCCCAGCAACCACATGGTGGCTCACAACCATCTGTAATGAGATCTGGTGCCCTCTTCTGGCCTTCAGGAATACACACACACATACACACACACACAGAGACAGAATCTTGTATACAGAATAATTAAATATTTATTAAAAAAAAAAAGAAAAAAAAACAAAAAACAGGTGTGGTTGTGTGGGTTTGTAATCCTAGTACTAGGGAGGTAGAGTCCATGATTCCTGGGACTGGTGAGCCAGCTAGACTAGCGTACTTGGTAAATTCTAGGTCAGTGGGAGATTCTGCCTCAAAAAATTTTAAAATAAATAAATAAAAACCAGGTGACAATTGGAGGTTGTCTTCTGTCCAACAAACCTATACGCACACACACACAAATATACACACCAAGCAAAACTGAACACTCGTAGAGCCCTTGTCTAGAATGCCCAAGGCCCTGGATTTAAGTCCCAGTGTGCACATGCACACGCGCATGCGTGCACATACACACACCTATGCAATCACTTAAGAAAGAAAACCTCTTTACCTGACATTCATCTTAGTTGCTGAAAGCACAGAGTGTTTGCCTGACCCCATCAGACACACAGTATCTTGACTTTCAGGGCCACGGAACTGGTCTCGTGAGAACTGCTGCCTGGCAGGAGTACAGGGAACAGAGAGTCTTCCTCTTGCTGGAACGGGGGTCCCTCTCCCTTTTTTCTCAAGCTGCTTTTGAAAGGAAGGAAAAAAACCCATTTAAAATCTCGGCCAGAAAAAAAAAAAAAATCTCGGCCAGCAAGGCAGCTGAGTGATTAAAGGCAGAGGCCCTGATGGCCTGCATTCCATCCCACAGCCCACATGACAGAGGCAGAACCAACTCTCTCAAATGGTCCTCTGACCTCAACATGAGCACACGCACACAATGTAACTTTCAAAATAAGAGCTTGTTCTCAAACCAGGTGGGGAGGTATATTCCCTGTAATCCTTCCATTTGGAGGGTAGAGGCAAGAAGATCAGGAGTTCATGGCCAGTCTTGTAAGCATGGGTGAGTCCGCGAGAGCGAGAGCCCGAAATAAAGGGAAATCAAATATTTATGGGGGACACTCATGAGTAGCAATAAGGTAGACAGCCACCGAGTCCTCGGCCCTGGGGGCGCTGGAAGCTGCATTCGGATCTCTGACCACCACACAGGATAGAAAGAAAGAGAGAGACCATTCCTTTCCTTTATGAGAAAAAGATCATGTCTGGTCAGGCAGTGGTAGCATACGCCTTTAATCCCAGCACTCAGGAGGCAGAGACAGGCGAATCTCTTTGAGTTCAAGGCCAGCCTGGTCTACACAGTGAATTCCAGGACAGGCCCCAAAGCTGCACAGAGAAACCATGTCTTGGAAAAAAGAGAGAGAGAGAGAGAAGCCACACTGCTGTAAGACTGGTACCCAAAAAACTATTGATGGAAAGGAATTTGTAGTGAAATTCCCATAACACAGTTTCATCCAGAGACAGTTCAAGACTAGCTTAGACTACATAAAATCTTATGACAATTAAAAACAAAACAAAACAAAAAGAACAAGAAGAGCTAAGATGGCACATGCGTTTAATCCTGTTTTTCCTGCTTCCTCCATGTCTGGCTTGCTGGAGGCTGCCTAGCTGACCCTGGGCATCTTCCTCTCTTTCTCCCTCATTCTCCCCTTTCTCTTGAGCCTAGATTCCTCCTCCTACTTATTCTCTCTGTCCACCAGTCCTGCCTATCTCTCTGCTGTTCAGCTTTTTATTAGATTAATTAGGTGCCTTAGGCAGGCAAGGGAAACAAATGTAACACATCTTTATATATAAACATTCTACAATACAGCCTTCACTAAACAACAAAAAGGCAGATAACAAATAGTTCAGTCTGAGAACATGAATTTTAAGAATTAACAAAATATTGGGGGCTGGAGAGATGGCTCAGCTGTTAGGAGTACTGACTGTTCTTCCAAAAGTCCTGAGTTCAATTCCCAGCACCCACATGGTGGCTCATAACCATCCTTTTTTTTTTTTTTTTTTTTTTGGTTTTGCGAGACAGGGTTTCGAGCCTGTCCTGGAACTAGCTCTGTAGACCAGGCTGGTCTCGAACTCACAGAGATCCACCTGCCTCTGCCTTCCGAGTGCTGGGATTAAAGGTGTGCACCACCATCGCCCGGCTTATAACCATCCTTAATGAGATCTGGTGCCCTCTTCTGGCCTGTAGGTATCACTGTATACATAATAAATAAGCATTTAAAAAAAAAGAATTAACAAAATATCATAGAGCCTTCATCCAGTAATTGATGGAACCAGATGCAAAGATCCACAACCAAGCACCAGGCCAAGCTCTGGAAATCCAGTCAAAGACAGGGAGGAGGGAATATATGAGCAAGGGAGGTCAAGATCATGATGGAGGAATCTACAGAGACAGTTGAACCAAGCTCCAAGCTCATGGAAACTCATGAACTCTGGACCGACAGCTGTGGAGCCTTCATGGATCGAACTAGGCCCTCCTTATAAGGGAGTCAGTTGTGAAGCTTGGACTATCTGAGGAGCCCCAGCAGTAGGACCAGCATCTATCCCTGGTACATGAGCTAGCTTGTTGGCCCATTCCCTATGGTGGGATGCCATGCTCAGTCTTAATGCAGAGGGGAGGGGCTTGGTCCTGCTTCAACTTACTGTGCCAGATTTTGTTGCCTCCCCGTGGGGGCCCTTACTGGTTGGGAGGAGTGGATTGTGAATGGGCTAGGTGGAGGTGGGGTGAGAAGGGACGGGAGGAGGAACTGTGGTCAGAATGTAAAATGAAATTTTAAGAAAATTAATTATTTTTAAAAAGAATTAACAAGAAACTGGGAATAGTGGGAATAGTGGCACACATCACTAATTCTAGCATTCAGGAGGTAGAGGTAAGTGGATCTCTGTGTTTGAGGCCACCTGGCTTATAGAGTGAGTTCCATGACAGCAAGAGCTACACAGTGAGTCTGTCTTGAAAAAAAAAAAAAAGAAAAGAAAAAGGAGATAGGGAGGGAGAGATGGCTCAGTGGTTAAGAGCACTAGATATTCTCCCAGAGGACTTGAGTTTAATTCCTAGCACCCACATGGCAGCTCACAACCATCTATAACTCCAGTTCCAGAGAATCCAACCCTATGTCTCACCTCCATGGGCACCAGCCAGGCATGTAGTACACATATTTACATGTAGGCAAAACACTCACACACACAAAAGAAAACAAATTAGTTCTAAAAAACAATAACAAGACATGCATTTTGTCTGCCTACCTTTAGTTCATTAAGTGAATTGTGTCCTTTAAAGTGTTTCTTTTTTCTCACAATATATTCATCAATGGATTCCATTTTCTTAAAACGAGCCTCATGAAGCTTCTTAAAGTCTAGAATGTTATCACAATATGAAAATAGTCAGATAAAAATGTATTTTTAGCCCTCCCTATGTTTTTTTCAACATTTGTTCAACTTTAATATCATCTTGACTAAAACATAATTCCAGAAGGCTCGGCCTTTGGAAACGCAGGGAATGCGTGTTCATCTCGGAAACCACCAAGTGTTCACATCTCACTGACCAATTCCCTGACGTCTTGGTTTGGAGAACAAGAGATTTGTCTTCTTCCACCTCAGCTAGTTAAAGGGCCGTTATTTAATCATTACAAGAGGGATCTTGTACACATGCACACATGAGTGGTAGGGACTAAGACAGGCCTCCTGCATGCTAAGCACACGCTCTACCACGTGAGGTGCTTCTCTAGCCTCTGAAACGGACAGCTTATGCCGAGAAAGCACTAGGTTAGACCTCTGTGAAGGCTCAAATAGTAAATATGTTAGACTAGTATGCTTTCTGTCTCATTTTATTTTAAATCCTTTAAAATTTTGAGCTGGGCGGTGGTGACGCACGCTTTTAATCCCAGCACTTGGGAGGCAGAGGCAGGCAGATCTCTGTGAGTTTGAGGCCAGCCTGTTCTACAGAGTGAGTTCCAGAACAGGCTCCAAAGCTACACAGAGAAACCTTGTCTCGAAAAACCAAATAAAATAAATAGATATATAAAAATTTGAAAGTTAAGCTGAGTGTGGTGGCACATGCCTATAAACACAACACAGGGTAGGAAGAGACAAAAAGATCAAAAAGTCAAAGCCAGTCTTGGATATACAGTAAATTTGAGGCCTCCTGGGCTACATTAAGACCCACCCAAAAGGCAAAAACTTTAGCTCAGAGAATTTAAAACTATCAAGGTGAGCAGAGAGTGGTTTTCCAGATCTACCGTATACTATTCCATTATTGAATTTCTTTTTTTAATTTACTTTATTTCATATGTATGGATGTTTTGCCTGCACGTATGTATAGGTACTGTGAGCATATCTGGTGCTCAAGAAGGTTAGAGAAGGAAGTTAGATCCCCTGAAACTGGAGTATGGATGGTTGTAGCCACTGTGTGGGTTGCTGGGAACTGAACTTAGGTCCTCTGAAGAGCAGCATGCTCTTAACCTCTGAACCGTCTCTCCATTCCCGATTATTGAATTTCTAACATATGATAACCAGTATTGTTATAAATCTATATGGGTCAGCCAGGCGGTGGTAGTGCACGCCCTTAATCCTAGCACCCAGGAGGCAGAGGCAGGCAAATCTCTTTCAGTTTGGGGCCAGTCTGGTCTACAGAGCTAATTCTAGGACAGGCTCCAAAGCTACAGCAAAATCCTGTCTTGAAAAACCAAAATAATCATCATCATCAATGTATCAAGCAACATAAGGCAGATGAGAAAATTGGGTTTTTTTTGGATGTATTGGAGATAGAATATTACACTATTAGACAGGCTGGTCCAAAGCCACATAACCAAGGCTCTAGTTACCAAGTACTGAGATTATAGCATGAACATAGTATTTCACAGTAAGTAGTGGAAAAATATTCTCCAGTTATATGCTAACCCATGAAGCCTGAAGTACAGCCATCGCCACTTTACACTGAGAAAGTCGGAGGATCAGGTTTCTACCATCTTGAGGCTAGGAACCCAAGACCGTGGAACATAAACCCTGGTCCCCATACCTGAGATTCTAGCTGATGCCAGCCACTACCAGCCACTGCCTATCCAACAGGAGTCTGAAGGAGGGCAACTACTGTTTTGTGTCTTTGTGTTCAAAACTTACTTGGTGTAGTGGCTGCAGTCCTTTTATTGTTTCCAAGTTTGGAAAACCCATCCATGCACAGAGATCTTTTTTCCAAAGGCCTCTTTGAATTTCTATTGTCTAAATATACAAACATAAAACAAATTAAAACTTTTCCCATTAAACTCTGTTGACTTAAATAATCAGAGACAGAAAAAACTTTTAAGAATGCCAAGGCCCTGGGTTCCATCTTTAGTACCACAAAGCCTAGACAAAGAAACAACAAAAAAGAGGGTAAATTTTTTCTTTTCTGAGACATGGTTTCTCTGTAGCTTGGGAGCCTGTCCTGGAACTCGCTCTGTAGACCAGGGTGGCCTTGAGCTCATAGAGTTCTGCCTGTCTCTGGTACTGAAGGTGTGTGTCACAACTGTCCAGCTAAGGGTAAATTTTTTTTTTTTTTTTTTTTTTGGTTTTTCGAGGCAGGGTTTCTCTGTGGCTTTGGAGCCTGTCCTGGAACTAGCTCTGTAGACCAGGCTGGTCTCGAACTCACAGAGATCCGCCTGCCTCTGCCTCCCGAGTGCTGGGATTAAAGGCGTGTGCCACCATCGCCCGGCCAGGGTAAATTATTTTATCTGCTTCTATGAGCTATGTCTTATTTGGTCTTGTCAGAGGCACAGTTAAACAGGAAGTGTATCTGATAGCTTTTAGTAATGGCAGGTATTATTCAACCAAAACATACCAAGTGGGAGTTGCTTCTTCTTTTGGGATAGGGTCTCTTTATGTAGCCCTGGCTGGCCTGAAACTCTCTATGAAGATCAGGCTATGAGACCAGGTTAGTCTTGAGATCGTAGAGACCTGTCTGACTCTGCCTCCTGAGTGCTGGGATTCAAGTGTTCACCACCACAATCGACAGGCAAGTCATGGTTTCTTAAATGTTGCAAGATAGAATATGGACTTATGTTCTTTGTACATAATGTAAGAACTCTCTTATCTAAGAACACCCAGAAAAGTAGTCAGGCATGGAGGTACATGTCTGTAATCCCAGCACTTAGGGCAGGGGCACAGGAGTTCAAAAAAATCCTCAGTCACATAGTGAGTTCCAGGCCAATATAGGCTACAGAAAACACGTCTTAGAAAAAGTAAATCAAAACAGGACAATAAAATAATGTCCACACCCCTCAAGCAAAGAAACACGTGTGGTAGTAAAGAGGCATCTATCTAGAATTGTTCTCAGGGCTCAAGGGGAAAAAGTGTGTGTGTCTGTGTGTGATAGAAACACAAATTAAGGGAAGAAAGGAGGGAGAGAGGGAATGAGGAAAAACTAAGGAAAACCTATCAAATGTTTACAGTTGGGAAATCTGAGTGGCATTTTGCACCATACTCTGGTAGGCCCTGTAATAGGCCATCATCTCCCTAAATCTTACTTCCTGTCTGTACTCCAGGAAGTCTCAGAGCCCAGGCAGATTTGTCAAGGGGAACCTATCACAGAGATGACCCCTGACAACTGGCAGGCTTCCTAAGCAATAAAACCAGAGAGCACAAAGTGCCGTCAGGATGGACTAATTGAATTTTTCGGTCTTCTAAAACTTAATTGAAGGCACTGCAGAGGCGGCTCAGCAGTTAAGAGCATTAAAGCTTTGGAGAACTTGGGTTCACTTCCCAGCACCCATATAGTAGCTCACAACCATTTATAACTCCAGTTCTAGGGGAGCTGATACCCTCTTGAACTCCATAGGTACCAGGCATGTACCTGGTAAACATATATACCTGCAAGCAAACATGTATACACATACATTTTTAAAGTATATTGAAAAATTTAAAGAAACAAAACCTGTTAGTTGAAAAAGTTTATAATGAAATCATTATCTATCTATCTATCTATCTATCTATCTATCTATCTATCTATCTATCTATCTATCTATCTATCGCTATGTTGCCCTGGCTGCCCTGGAACTTATTCTGCAGGCCAGACTAACCTTGAACTCTAGAGATCCACCTCCTCAGTCTCCCAAATGTTGAGATTACGGGATGACTAAGAAAGACAGGTATATACAGTGTGAAAAGTGGGTGTCACTACCCATGTAAGCACCCTAGTCGAAGCAGCAGGCAGTGACTACATCAGTCTCAAATTATGCAGAAAAGTTAAAGAGAACAAAATGGGCTCTTCTGTCACCAAGAAGAGATTAACTTTCCCAAGCTTTCAGAAACCTCTTACTCTGCTCTGGATAAAAGTTCAGGCCAGGCGGTGGAGGCAGAGGCAGGCGGATCTCTGGGAGTTCAAGGCCAGCCTGATCTACAAGAGCTAGTTCCAGGACAGGCTCCAAAGCTACAGAGAAACCCTGTTTCGAAAAAAAAAAAAACCAAAAAAAAAAAAAAAAAAGCCAAAGTTCAGACACTGAGCAGTTGTGTAGCACCTCAGGCTCCCGAGTCTGACCCCAGCATCAAACAACAACTACATATACTTCTAGGTTTTACTTTGACTGTAAAGCACATGAAAGGTCCCAGTGTGGTTACAGTGAACTGTGATCCTCCAAAGACAAGTTAGCTCCCAATCTAGCACCTATGATCTCAACTCACTTAGGAACTGGGTCTCTAGATACTGAACTAAACAGAGGTTGTTTGGTAGGCAGTAAACCAATAGGACCAGTGTCCTTAGAAGAACAGATTCAGATAATCAGTCCCAGAACTCTTAAAGTGGAGGCAGGAAGACTACAGTGTGTTTGAGGCCAGCATGGGTTACAGTGGGAGGATCTATCATAAGACAAATACATAAGACATATAAATGCCTTCCATATAACAGGAAGGGAAAAAAAAGACATATAAATGCCATGTGATAGCAGAGGCAGCAAGCAGAACATGTGGCAACAGGCCAAAAACAGACTTGCATTGCCACTACAAGGTACAAAAGCAAAGACGATACCCAGTGAGTCAGAAAAGCATGGCTTATTGACATTTTGACTTTAGATTTATAGCTCCCAAATTTAGAACACATTCTATTTCTGTTCTTTTTTTTAGGTTTTTTTGTTTTATTTATTTATTTAGGTATTGTTGTTTTGCTGGTTTTTAAAGACAGGGTCTTCTCTCTATTATGTTGCTCTGACTGTCCTAAAACCCACTCTGTAGATCACACTGGTCTCAAACTCAGAGATCTGCCTGCCTCTACCTCCTAAAGGCGTGCGCCACCATGCACGACTCAATTTCTGTACTTTCAAACTTCCTGGCTTGCATTCCTCGGACTAAAACGCATGACCCCGGCAATTTCAATTTGAAATTCCTGGCTGGCGTACCATCGGCCCCATTTCTTCCTGAGGAAGTTGCACTCCCGTCTTCCTGGCTCTGGTCTGGCAGAGAAGGAACTTGTGTAGTAGTTCTGAGGTCTTGGTTTTCCTGCTTTTCTTGATTCTGTAATGTAGTAGGATCGCTTCTTTTTATTGCAGAATGATCCTGCAACAAATTTTGAAAGGAAAAAACAAAACAAAACAAAGAGCAATTCTAAAAAAATAAGGTGTGTGGGGGGGTGAGGGTCAGTCAGAAGAACAATAGGGGAATAAGACTCCTGAGTGGTTTTGTTTGACCCAGTGTTCTGAGACTTTAATTTCAAAAATGGAGACCCTAGAGGCCACTAGGAAGAATGGAAGGTTTGTTCCCAGGAAGTAATACTGAGACGCATCTTCTTAATCCATGGGGCCATACAACTAAACGTGGGGGCAAGAATCTGGCAACAGGAAAAGCTGAACATGAAGTAACCCAAATTAATTCAAAACTGAATACGAAATAAACCTGAGTTTGATTCCTGGGAAATCCTGAATTTCTCCATGATGGAAAGAGAAAAAGACTTCTGAAAGTTATCTTCTGACTTCCACATGCAAGCCTTGGCACATGCCCCACCTCCACCACATCCCCTCTCTCCATGTGCGAGCCATGGCATGTAACCCAGCCCCACCCATCCCCTCCACATGTATGTCATGGCATGTACCCCAGCCCCACCATAGCCCCTCCCAGCACAACAGTTTAGAATGGTATTAAGGTTCTGGAGAGATGGCACAGCGGTTCAGAGTACTGGATGCTTTTCCAGAGGTTCTGGATTTGATTACCAGAACCACATGGTGGGTCAACATCATCTCTAACTCCAGTTTCAGGGAATTTAATTCCTTTTCTGGCCTTCAAGGGTACAAGGAATGAACATAACATGTGACATACATGCAGGCGAAACAGTCATACAGATAAAAAAGTAAACTTAAAATAATTAAGGCTGTGCATAGTGGCACACATTGTGATAGTTTGAAAGTAAATGGCCCCATAGGGAGTGGCACTATTAAGAGGTGTGTGGCTTTGTTGGAGGAAGTGTATGCATCGTTATGGGGGTGGGCCTTGAGGTCTCATGTGCTCAAGCCCCATGTCCCAGATTCCTTCTGTTGCCTGCGGATCAAGATGTAAGAACTCTCAGCATCTTCTCCAGCACTATATCTGTCTGCCCAACGCCATGTCCCACCATGACGATAACAGACTAAATTTTCTGTAAGCTGTCTCTTCAAAGCAATAGAAACCCTGACTAAGACATACATACATCTTTAAATACAGCAGCACTTGGGAAGCAGAAGCAGGCAGACCTCTGTGAGTTCAAGGCCAGCTTGGTCTGTAGACTGAGTTCTAGAACAGCTGCATAGTGAAACTCTGTCCTCCATTCCCCCAAAATTAAGAAAAAATAATTAAAACAACACTACAAAACAAAAAATAGAAATTAGCATAGGCATGTTGGCTCATTCCTATAATTCCAACATTTGGGTTGAGGCAGGAGAATTACTGTTGTGGGATATGTGTACACTGTGTGAAGATATATTGCTGTGATTGGTTTAATAAAGAGCTGAGGGCCGGGGGCTGGAGAGATGGCTCAGAGGTTAAGAGCACTGACTGCTATTCCCTGAGTTCAGTTCCTAGCAATCACATGGTGGCTCATAGCCATCTATAATGGGATCCAATGCCCTCCTCGGGTGAGAAAAGGGACATGCAGACAGAGCACTCAAAGAAATAAATAAATCTTAAAAAAAGAATTTTTTCTTTTTCTTATTCTTTTTTTTTTTTTTTTTTTTAAGTTTTTCGAGACAGGGTTTCTCTGTGTAACAGCTCTTGGCTGTCCTGGAACTAGCTCTTGTAGACCAGGCTGGCCTCAAACTCAGAGATCCGCCTGCCTCTGCCTCCCAAGTGCTGGGATTAAAGGTGTGTGCCACCACCGCCTGGCTAAAAAAAAAAAAAAAAAGAATTCTTTTAAAAATGCTTAAAAATAAACAATAAAATCAGTGTAGTCAAAGCAAGTGAGGAAAGTGCTTAGCTATTCATCACGACCATACACTACTGAAAGACTAAGCACAGGATGACGACCAGGCCAGGAGCAAATAAGAAAGAGAACTTAAAACTACACTTCAGGTTGATCGCAGACAACCTATGTGAACGATATATGAGCACCCACATTGATCCAATCAATTTTGGTATGAATTGCACATGGAAGTATGTATACATGGGATAGGAAGGTACTGTGTGTGTATGGACTCTCTATTACTCTCTCTGCTCCTCTGAGGCAGGCTCTCTCACTGAACTTGTTTCTAGGTTAGACTGGCGGCCAACAAGTCCCGAGATGCTGCGTCCACTCCCTCAGCGCTAGAGCTACAGCTGTGCATGAGACCACATCTGGCTTTCACGTGGGTGCCAGCATCTGAACTCCAGAGCAGCGAGCACTCTCAACCCCAGAGACATCTCTCACCTTCCTCCAGCCCCTTTAGTGAGTATTTAGTTTGTACTTCATACTCGTTATTTCTTCCCATGTGCTGGGGACAGAGGTATGGTGGGGGTACAGTAGACACAGGTATGTAACTTTTGAGGGGCTTGCAGCGTATTGTATGTTTCCAGCCATCTGGGTTGCCAGGGAAGGAAAGCGGAAGCTCACTAAAAATATGCCGGTTATGGAAGGTTATGGTCGTATGGTGACTTCTCTTCGGTTTACATAGTTCCACTCACCTGGAAGTTAGGAACTTCATGGTCTGTCTTGCGCTTCCTTCTTGTTTTGGTGACATGATCGACTGGTTCCCTCTCAGCTTGCTCCTCACAGCTAATTTGTATCTCGGCCTCATCACCGGAGAATGCAGAAGACTGATTCTCATCCTGGAAAACAAGACAGTGTGAGCCATATCCTGTATGTACAGTAGCAACTGCATCCTAAGCCAAAGTGACTTGTCAAAGTTAACAGAAGGAAGCAGCGTTTGCATTTTCATAAACGAAAAGTGAAACGTTACTATAGGTTTATAACAATGATGAGACAATTCAGTCCCTGTTCCTATTACTAATGATGATAACATCATATAATAAATAAACATATATTTTCATTTTTGCTTTGTTTTGTTTTGAGCTAGGTTCAAGATCTGGCCTATAACTCTAGTAGCCTGTGCTGGCTCCACCTCCCAATACTGGGCTTTCAAGTATGAGCCTTTACACTGTCTACTACATCTCAAATCATCACGAATTAAGTATTAATTGTTTTTTAACTAAACACAACATTTTACTAGCTAACAACTGATAAAGAACATTACTCACCTGATTTTTATTTTCTTTCCTTATTTCTGGGTTCAGGTGGGCTTTCAAGGCTCTTAACAACTTGTCTGCCTGTAGAGAGAAGAGTGTTTATTACATTCAAAGCCAAATAGGTAAGGAAGCAATGCGAGACTCCTCTTTTCTTCTGTTTACTGAATGTCCTTAGTCAGGCTGGCAGTGGCCTGGACAGAAATGAATTTCACACTCCAGGGACAAAATCAGGTCATGAAAACAGACATACAATGCAATACAATGGGGTAAGTATGTGAGCAAGCTTTGGATGTATGGGCTCGATAGGACCAATGCCAGCAGGTGATGGGACGCCCCAGATTTAAGACAGATGTCCTGGCTAGGGTTGCTGAGATCTTGAAAATGGAGAAGAGAGGTAAGAGAACAGGACAGATGATGGCCAAGTTCAGCATGGCTGGAACCCTGAGCTAATGGAAAAGTATTCAGGAGTGCAATTTTGCTAGATAGGCCTGCCTCTTAAGGCCCCTTGATAATAAACTTTGTCCTTGCAGCAAATAGCAGTCTCTAAAGGGTTGGCTTCAGGGCAGTGGGCAAACACTGGATGCTTAGGAAACCAGAACTGTGTCTGAACTGAAGAGACAGATGAAACCTTCAAAGGAATTAGCAGCAATATCAACTTGACTAGGGAAACTTCTCTGGGCCAGTTTCTCTGGTGGGCAGGTGTTACCATATAGTGAGGGTCTTTCAAGCCCTTGGGAAAAGGGAACTCACTTTCCGCTCTAGCAAAGCTTCCCTGTCTTTTCTGAAAGACAAATAATAACCTGACTGGCTTTCCTTTTTTAAAAGGTCAAATGGAGTCAGGAAAGCAATTTCCTGAGATTTCTAGGCCAACCTGGTCTATAGAATGAGACCCTATTTCAAAATAATCAAAGGTCAAGTATATTAGTTAGGTTCTTTTTTCCCCCTATTATACCCAGATTTATAGTTGAGGGTCAAACACTTTTTTGTTTTGTTTTGGTTTTTTGAGACAGGGTTTTCCTGTAGCTTTGGAGTCTGTTCTGAAACTAGATCTTGTAGACCAGGTTGGCCTTGAACTCACAGAGACTTGCCTGCCTCTGCCTCCCGAGTGCTGGGATTAAAGGTGTGCACCACCACCACCCAGCTCAACACTTTTTGAAAAATAAAAATTTTATTTATATTTTTTAAAAAAATTCTTAGCTGGGCATGGTAGCACATGCTTTTAATCCCAGCACTCAGGAGACAGAGGTAAGCAGATCTCTATGAGTTTGAAGCCAGCCTGGTCTACATAGTGAGTTCCAAAACAGTCAGAGCTGTATAGTGAGACTCTGCCTCCTCCTCCCCCCCCCAAAAAAAAAGAAAATAGAATGACTTAAACATTTTTTTTTTTTTTTCCAAACAGGGTTTCTGTGTAGTCCTGGCAGTCCTGAAACTAGCTCTGTAGACCAGGCTGGTCTTGGACTCAGAGTTCTGCCTGACTTTGCCTCTGACTCCTGAGTGTTTGGGATTAAAGGCATGCACCACCATCAACCAGCTTAAAAATTCAATTAAAATATAATTACAACCCCCGCCCCCAACCACTCCTTTCTCCTCCAACCTCTATTCATGTACCTGGACCGGCTATCTCTCATATTCATGTTGTTTTATACACACACACACACACACACACACACACACCTAAGTATATAAATACAACATGGTCAGTCCGTGTTTCTTGTATGTATATGATTCTATGCACTTAAGATAGGCTCAGCCTCTAAATTTGGCTTTCCTTCTCACACGATGTATCATTAATCAGTAGTAAATGGCAAAGCCTGAAATTTTTCTGCCCTTTAAGTACAGAAGTCTTGTTGGGGCGTGAGCCTAAGCCACATGTTTCAACTGTGCTAGAGTTCTCTGAATGAAGCCACCCAACTATTAAGAAAATTTCCCACTCAATGAACCTAACCTGAGGTTTCCTCTCAGAAGAGGTCATCCTGGTAATTTTTGTTGTTGTTGGTTTTTTTTCTTTGCTTTTTTTTTGAGACAGGGTTTCTCTGTGTAGCCCTGGCTGTCCTGGAACTCACTCTGTAGCCCAGGCTGGCCTCGAATTCACAGAGATTCACTGGTCTAAAGGCCTGCAGCACCACTGCCGCCCAGATTCACCGGTCTCTACTTCCCAAGTGCTGGGATTAAAGGCCTGCACCACCACCGCCCCGCTAGGTATACACTGTGTGTCACAGTGCATATGTGGGGTTCAGAGGACAGTTTCCTAGAGTCAACTCTCTCCTTCGGCCATGTGGGTCACAACCCCAGGTGTGTGTGCTAAGCACTGTTCTAGGAGCTGAGGACTGGTGAACAGAACAGGCAAGCCTGCAGCTGCTCCCCACTGGACTAAAGTGAAGATAGCGTATTAACCAAGTAAGCTAGAAATAACACCTCGGAGGCTAGGAAGCAAAACCTAAACCATGTGAGAGAGGTGGGCTGGGTCGGGATGCAAATGAGATTAGAGGCAGCAGATGTTGTGTGATAATTAATTACGGTCAGGCAGAGGTGATGTGGTACAAGCCTATAGACCCGAGGAGCATCTGTGGCCTCATTCCGTTCAAACCATTTAAAATCATTTGTGATGACCGAACAGATATTTAGGTTAAATATCAGTTTGCTGTACAAATCTCTGGGGTACACATGTGGGAAACCTCAACTCCAACACAGCAAGCCCCAATCTAACAAAAAATCACATTTTCCTCTACACACCTTGCAAAAGTCCTAACTAGTTTTGAAAAATACCATCACAAAAGTGATCTGTGTATGCGGGGATGGGTAGGCACCCCAATAAAGGCCCATGAGAATGAAGATACTAACAGAGTTTACTGAACAATGGTAGTTTGGAGATTTCCAGAAGCCAATTCAACTTTTCCTTCAACTGCCTAATAATCGGCATTAGTCAATATACTGATTATGTCTTATGGGCCTGCGTTTCCCATTTGGTACCAGGGAAGTATCATTGGAGTTTCCAGTAAAAGGTCTTTATGAGTTCCTGGAAAAAAAGCCTCCAAATAAAATAAGTCATAGCTTCTCTTTCGTTTAACAAATTCCAGCCACCGTGAACCAAAGCTACTCACCCCAAAACAGCGTCCCCGGGGGGTTCTCTCGGTCCCTTCGCCCCGTGTCCACCACACCCTAGGTCTCTTACCCCGCCCACCCAACTGCCCGCACCACCAGCCAGCACCGTACCCTCAGGTTAGCCCGGAGGCCCAGCTTTTTGGCTAAATTTTGCAGGTCACTGTACTTGAAGGAGTCCAGCTCCTCTGCAGAGGGGACGGTCATCGCGTTCTGCAATCCCGGCGACACCCAGAAAAACAGCCAGACAACTCAAACAACACCGTTCAAAACTGGCGCCACCCGAGGCGTTGACAAGCCGATTTTTATATTCAGTTTAAATGAAGACTGCTGTGCGTCCATTGGCTGAACGCCTCGAGGGTGGAGTTTCCGATGTTGGCCAATAAGGGCGGCTGAAACGCTCTTGTCGCACGCCTAACTAAGACGCAGACGCTCCACGGGTTGTGGGCGTGTCTTACAGGCATGTTGTCCAATGAGAACGCAGGAAACTTCATTTGGGTGGAACCTGGCGCGTGCGTAAAAAAACAGGGAAGAAAAAAAAAGAGGCGCGGGCTTCAAAAAGATGGCTTGCTCTCTGCGCAGCCCCTCGCCCCTGGAGACGCAGTCTTGCAGTGACTCTTGTGACTCGCCTTTGTCTTTTACTACCTCCATGGAGTGGGACACCCAGGTGGTGGCGGGGTCCTCCCCTCTAGGTCTGAGGACTGAGATGGAGGGGTCACCCGTCGACCTGCGGCTGCCTGTGTGGTTGGAACCCGAGAGGTGTGCCGTGTTCCATTGCGCACGTTGCTACGCGGTGCTCGCTGACACCGTGCATCTAGCCTGGGACCTGTCGAGGTCTCTTGGGGCCGTGGCCTTCTCCAGTGAGTGAGGCGAGGGCAGGAGGAGGGGCACTCCCGACGACTCGGAACGGAGAGGAAGTGGGTGAGGGAGGCGAGTTTTGTCTTCCCGAGCAGAGCCTTAAAGCCTGGACCTCGCAGGAGCTGAGCTTGCGCTTTTAACTGAGCCCCCATCCTTTTATGTTGACTTTATGACCAGGGTGAGTCTGGTGGGAGGTTTTCCTGTTTAAAACCCGTTTGTCTTTCAGGAGTCACGAACAATGTCGTTTTGTTCGAACCCTGTCTGGTTGGCATTGAAGGTTTTCTCAAATGCAGGTACGTGTGGAGAATTCCTGAGGTGGATCTATAGTTCGTGATTTAGTGATACTGAGGAGTACCTAATTATCATAAACAAGAAGAAAACTTATTTTTGTTGTGGCGTAAGTTTATTATATTCATAAATATGTTTAGATGAAATACTTTTTATGTATTTGAATCATATCAACAGGACATTAATGAAATGAAAATTAGAGTTGGGTGTATATTTTAACGTCTGAGAACCACATCCTATGAGATAATTAGGACTATTTAAATTTAACTTGGAGTTTATAGTATAAATCATGACAGGACTGATTCGGTAATAATCTCCGAAACCGGGGAACAGAGTTGAATGGTGTTTGAGTATTGGTAGTAATTTGCATCTTCCCTTGCTAATACTTTCCCATAGCAGTAAAGCACTCAGCAAATTTGTGCTTAGGAGGCTAAAACTCTTAAGACTTTGCCAAACTAAAGACACATTCCTGTCCTTAGAGGAGTCCCTTCTTACCCAGTGGCTCTTGCCTTTTAATCTCAACACTCTGTGGTGTGTATTTGGTTGGGCAGAGGGAGGCGATTCCCTGAGTTTCAGGACAGCCAGAGCTGTTACACAGAGAAACCCTGTCTTGAAAAACAAAAACAGGCACAAAATGATGTGTGTGAGTATGGTTGTGGGGTATGGCACACATATTGTGTGAGTGTGGTGGTGGGGTATGGCACACATATTGTATGTGGTTGTGGGTATGGCACACATTGTGTGAGTGTGGTTGTGGGTATGGCACACATTGTGTGAGTGTGGTTGTGGGGTATGGCACACATTGTGTGAGTGTGGTTGTGGGGTATGGCACACATTGTGTGAGTGTGGTTGTGGGGTATGGCACACATTGTGTGAGTGTGGTGGTGGGGTATGGCACACATTGTGTGAGTGTGGTGGTGGGGTATGGCACACATTGTGTGAGTGTGGTGGTGGGGTATGGCACACATTGTGTGAGTGTGGTGGTGGGGTATGGCACACATTGTGTGAGTGTGGTGGTGGGGTATGGCACACATTGTGTGAGTGTGGTGGTGGGGTATGGCACACATTGTGTGAGTGTGGTGGTGGGGTATGGCACACATTGTGTGAGTGTGGTGGTGGGGTATGGCACACATTGTGTGAGTGTGGTGGTGGGGTATGGCACACATTGTGTGAGTGTGGTGGTGGGGTATGGCACACATTGTGTGAGTGTGGTGGTGGGGTATGGCACACATTGTGTGAGTGTGGTGGTGGGGTATGGCACACATTGTGTGAGTGTGGTGGTGGGGTATGGCACACATTGTGTGAGTGTGGTGGTGGGTATGGCACACATTGTGTGAGTGTGGTGGTGGGGTATGGCACACATTGTGTGAGTGTGGTTGTGGGTATGGCACACATTGTGTGAGTGTGGTGGTGGGTATGGCACACATTGTGTGAGTGTGGTTGTGGGTATGGCACACATTGTGTGAGTGTGGTTGTGGGTATGGCACACATTGTGTGAGTGTGGTTGTGGGTATGGCACACATACTGAGGTCCAAAGGTAACCTGAAGGCATCTTTCTTCTCACCATGCTGGTCCCAAGAATTAAACTCGGCTCCTCAGGCTTGGCAGCAAGTGCCTTCACCTATCGAGTCATCTCACTGGGCCTGGAGTGACATTTTTGATATTTGTATTTAGTTACATAAAATAACTGAATCTTACAAAATCTTATATTTTTGTTTTTAGTAATAATGGTCTTGCCTTGACTTTATAATTCTGCCTCTGCCTCCCAAGTGCTGGGTTCTCAAGTATGGGGAACCTACACTAAACCTCTTTTAAAAAGCCTGATAAAAAGTTGTAATTATCTATTTGGAGATGTGCTATAGCTTAAAAATACAATGCTTGCCTAACTTGTATGAGGTGCTAGAGCTGATCTGTGGTACTTCAAGAAAAATACAAGAATAGAGTTAGATTTCTGTTTCACATTATAATCTAAGAGTAGTTTTATTATGTTTATTCCTTTAGTGTTTGTGGGGGAGATTATGTGTGTGGACATGTGAGGGTGAGAGGCGTCAGTCTCTGCTGTTGGGGTCTCCTGAGGATCAGACTCTGCTCACCACGCTTGGTAGCAGGCACCTTCACCTGTAAAGCTGTCACTCCAGCCCTGATTTCCTCACTGGGTTCATCTAATTGGTTTTTTGTTTTTGTTTTTTAATTGTTTTTATTGAGCTATATATTTTTCTCCCCTCCCCTTCTATCTACCCTCTCCCAATTTGCTCAGGATATCTTGTCTTTTTCTATTTCCCGTGTAGATTAGATCCGTGTATGTCTCTCTTGGGGTCCTCATTGTTGTCTAGGTTCTCTGGGATTGTGAATTGTAGGCTGGTTTTTCTTAGCTTTATTTCTAAAAGCCACTTATGAGTGAGTACATATTGTAAGCAAATGTGTTATAGTAGTGTTGCAGGGATACCCTGACTTATTGGGAAGCCAGGATATACTTAGAGCTGCAATAGGACAGCTCTGGGGGGGGAGGGTAGAGCCTCAGTAGGACAGCTCTGGGGGTGGGTAGAGCCGCAATAGGACAACTCTGGAGGCTGGAGCTGCAATGGGACAGCTCAGTTCTGGAGAGAAGGTGTCCTGACTATCAGGAAGCCAGGCTACTTGAAGCTGGGGCGCGGACGGGAGGGGTGGATATAGGGATCCTGTTCTCCTGGAGAGCACGGCTACAGCTGAGTTCTGCTCCATTCTCTTTAGGGAGCATCTTAGCCGAACTATCTGCTTCTTACTCCAGCCCAAGATGTTTCTTCTTACTAACACTCTGCTAAAGGAAAGCCCCCTGCAGTAATGTAGCAATCTCCTCCTGCTTGGCCTTGCTCAGCCTACCTTAAGGAACATTCTAGCAAGGTTCTTCTTTACTGCTCTGCCTTGCTGAGGTGCTCCTCCTAGCCAGGTTCTTCTGGTCTTCTGGTCTGCACTGGTGAATGAAGGTCATCACTCAAGACTCTTTTGAGAAAGAGATTTATTTGGGAAGGAGAAATCCAGGAGAGTGGCCTCCTCTGCCTCCGAGGCAGCTCCTAACTGAAGGGGTGAGAGGCTTTTATAGGGCTTCTTAAGGGTGTAGTTTTCCCAGGGAGAAGGGGGATTGGTTGATTTTTATTTTTTTGTACCTGCTCAGGGATTGGTCAGTTTAGTTGGTCAAGGGCAGAGATGTCTCTGGCTTTGTGGCCAAATTGTGTTTCTTTCGCTGGTCCTTTTCAGCTTTTTGACTCTAATCTTAGGACCAGGGCATATTTCTTTCACTGGCTCTGATTCTAGGAACAAAGTGTGTTTCTTTGACATTAGTTTCAGAGTCAGGACACATGTCTTTCGTCCTGGGTTCAGGGATAAAGATGTTTCTTTCCTGGCTCAGGCCTCAAATACAGGGTGTGTTTCTTTCACTGGCTCTGAGTTCAGAGTCAGGGTGCTTAGTGATTGGCTGGTTTCCTGATCAGTTGTCCCTTTTACCCTACACTATGATATTTGTCTTCCTGAGTCTGGGTTACCTCACTCAATATGATGTTTTCTAGATCTGTCCGTTTGCCCAAATTTGAAGATGTCAATATTTTTTTCTGCTGTGTAGTACTCCACTGTGTAAATGTACCACATTTTCCTTATCCATTCTTTAGTCAAGGGTCATTTAGGTTGTTTCCAGGTTCTGGCTATAACAAATAATGCTTCAATGAACATAGTTGAGTACATGTCTTTGTGGTATGATTGATCATCCTGTAGGTATATACCCAAAAGTAGTATTGCTGGATCTTGAGGTAGGTTGTTTCCTAATTTTCTGAGAAATCGCCGTACTGATATCCAAAGGGGCTGTACCACTTTGCACTCCCACCAGCAATGCAGAAGTGTTCCCTTTACCCCACATCCTCTCCAGCATAAGTTGTCATCAGTGTTTTTGATCTTGGCCATTCTTACAGGTGTAAGATGGAATCTCAGAGTTGTTTTGATTTGCATTTTTCCAATGACTAAGGATGTTGAACATTTCCTTAAGTGTCTTTCAGCCATTTTAGATTCATCTGTACCCCATTTTTGTTTTTATTGGATTATTTATTCTTTTGAAGGTCAGTTTCTTGAGTTCTTTGTATATTTTGGAGATCAGCCCTCTGTCTGTGGGGCTGGTGAAGATCTTTTCCCATTCTGTAGGCTGCCGTTTTGTCCTGTGACCGTGTCCTTTCATCTGCTTGTTTGTCTTCTCGTTGAGGTCAATAATCTTTTTTTTTTTTTTTGGTTTTTCAAGACAGGGTTTCTCTGTGGCTTTGGAGCCTGTCCTGGAACTCGCTCTTGTAGACCAGGCTGGTCTCCAACTCACAGGGATCCGCCTGCCTCTGCCTCCCCAGTGCTGGGATTAAAGGCGTGCACCACCACCGCCCGGCTGTTAATAATCATTTTTACTAGTACACTTGAGATCTTGAGATATCTTTTTTAGTATCTTTAAACTCAGTAGTTGATTATTACTTTATGTTGTATATGGTACAACATATATTGTAAATGAGTTTTGAAAGTTTTATTGGAGGGGCTGGAGAGATGGCTCAGCAGTTAAGAGCACTGATTGCTCTTTCAGAGTTCAATTCCCAGCAACCACATGGTGGCTCACAACCATCTGTAATGAGATCTGGTGCCCTCTTCTGGCCTGCAGGCATACATGTAGTAGACAGAACACTGTATACATAATAAATAAGTAAATGTTTTTTAAAAAAGTTTTATTGGGTTACAATGTACTGATAACTAAAGCTTTGGCCAAGCATGGTGGTTCCTTTAATTCCAGCACTCCAGAAAATGGGTACGAGTAGAGGAAAACCTTTATTCCACTTTACTGCCTCTTGCTATTATGTCTTCTTGTCTTCCAGATTGTCAGAATATTGTAATGAATTCAAATAAAATCTAATTGACCTTGTTTTATATAATTAAATAGAGGTACAGTTGTATATCTGTGTATATATTAGAAGTAAATGCCTTAAGTCCTTCAGCGTTCATGATCCAGTGGCCTAGCAAGCAATATTAAGCTAACTCTATAGCATGGAGCAACCCCAAACATCTTAAGGACAGTAGTAAACTTCTTTGTGAGGTAGGGAGACATTAACTATACAAGTGATCAGAATCAGTGCAGTAATTAATATTTTGTCATAAATTTTGTTCTGTTCTTTGTTGTTTCTTTGAGACAAGTCTTCTCTAGCCCAGCTGTCCTTGGAAGCCTGTGAATTTGAACTTGAGAGCCCCCTGCCCAAGCGTCTGAATGATGAGATCACCACCAAGGGCAGCAGTTTTTACTTGTTCTCCGGGTTTCCTCACGTTATCTTCTGCTTCTTCCCATTCCCAACAGCACATACAACCGTCTGTTCTGTAGTTCCTGTCGGGTTCCTATTGGTTTCCATCTGTATTCCACCCATGCTGCTCTGGCTGCCTTGAGAGGCCACTTCTGCCTCTACTGTGATAAAATGCTGTGGTGAGTAGACAGTGACATTGTTACCAAATAAGGGGTTCAAGTCTTCTAGCAGAATCCAGGTGTGGATAACTAAAGAAGATGCAAACGGCCAGGCACTAAAGACAAAATATAACTCTGTGATAAATACAATTACTTCAGATGTTTTATTGTATCATGTCTTAATGGTCATATGAAATAATTTAAGAGCATTCATTCATTAAGGGAAATTCTGGGAGGTATGCTTTTGCAAAATAGTGTCAGAGATAACTTGGTTTGCTGCTGTGCCTCATGCCCTTCTTATACATAGGACTTGGCCTGCATGGTACCCAGCCTCAAAGAAATATATATGTAGTTGGGCAGTGGTGGTGTATGCTTTTAATCCCAGCACTCGGGGGCAGAGACAGACGGATTTCTGTGAGTTTAAAGCCAGTCTGGTCAACAAAGCAAGTTTCAGGACAACCAGAGTTAAACAGTGAAACCCTGTCTCGAACAACGAAGGAAGGAAGGAGGGACAGAGGGAGGAAAAGAGGAAGATTGAAGATATATATATATTTATAACTCATCCAACTAAGCCAGTCAGATTTTCTATCCCAGGAATTTGAAATGAGGGCTGTATTGGTTACTTGTCTAGTGACAGGACAACATAGCATACCTGGCAAAAGCAACCTTAAGGGAGGGAGGGCTTACTGTGGCTCACAGTCTGTGGGTATAGTCCATCATGGTGGGAAGCCATGGAGGAGGTGGCTGGATGGATTGTGTCAGCAGGCAGGAAGCAGAGATTAATGCTAATCCTCAGCTTCCTTTCTCTCTCTGTCTTTTAATGACCTATATTTATTTTTTATGTGCATTTGTGTTTTGTATCATATATGTGTATGTGAGGATGTAACAAGTCACAGACAGTTGTGGGCTGCCAAATGTTTGCTGGGAATTGACCCCAGATCCTCTGGAAGAGCAGCCAGTGTTCTTAACCATGCTGGGCCGTGTCTCCAGCCCTTGCTTTCTCATTTTTTTAGTCCAGTACTCTAGCCTGTGGAATGGTGCTGCTCGCTTATAGAGGGCACCTTTGCATAGAGGCCTGTTCCCATGTCATCGCAGCTCTGTCTAGGTGATACTATTTACCACATGACCTAGAGTCATTTTTAGATGATACTCGTGCTGAGCTTGGAGAGTGAGTACTCTACACTCGGAATAACTATTTTCTGCACTTGACTCCAGACACAGAGAAAATCTTACCTGATTGAAAAGATGAATGAAATGAAGACTGGAGTATAGTAATGACTGTGTGATCTCATTTACTATTTTTTACATTGGCTATTTTATCATCTTCCTAGCTAATTAAACATTTGGCTTACAGTATTTTATTTACATGAAACTGAAAGGGCTGGAGAAAAGGCCCAGAGGTTAAAATTATTAGAGCTCTGTCAGAGTACCAGAGTTCAGACCAACCTTCCTCTTTCCCCAGTGACAGGACCAAGGTACACCCCACCCTGCCCAGCCTTCAGTGAATTGTTTACTCACGGTAGTTATTCATTTGATTCTGGGTTTGTTTTCAGTTCTCACGAGATAATTTTGTCTCTGAGAATATGAAAGGATAAGGCAGAGTTTGTGGTTTTAATTGAAAATCTATTTTTCCAAATAAAATACATCATGGTCCTTGAAGCCACTAAGGCAGGCTTTGATTCATGTGCAATGGTACTAATACTTTATATATTTTCTCTCTAGCTATGTCTTGAAAACAAAGACCATAGTAAATGCATCTGAGATGCATATTAACAACCTGCCTCTCCAAGAGAAGATTGCGGAGGTAAGCTTGATTATGTAGTTACTTAATATACACAACTTTTTCATTTTCTTTTTAGAGACAGGATTTTACTTTGTACCTGTGACTGGTCATATTAACTATATAGACCAGACTGTCCTAGAATTCAGCTATATCCTTTCACTTATATAGGCAAGTGTGTATGTGTGTGTTGTGATTTTATTTTAAAGATTTTTATTTTAAATCTGGTAACATAAGCAGCAAATTGAGGGCTGAGTGAGCTTAAGAGTATCCTCAATCTATGTCTCTTCCCAGCTGAAAGAGAAGATAATATTAACACATGCTCGTTTAAATTCACTGACAAAGATTCTGAAGGAAGTGACTCCTGATCAGTCTAACCAAGAAAATTGAAGAAGCAGGTATGAGCACAGAACTTTCTTCCCCCATCTTCAACAACAGGACCATTTGGTCGGTCTGTCTGTCTTTCTTTTCTAAGGTCTCTGCGTGTGTGTGCGTGCGTGCGTGTGTGTGTGTGTGCGCGTGCGTGCGTGTGTGCGTGTGTGTGTGTGTGTGTCTTTGGCAGATGTGTACTGGTGCTGGTGGAGACCAGAGGAAGAGTGGGATCCTCCAGCTGGAGTTGTTGCTGAGAATGAAACTCTGCATAAACTGGAAGTGCTCCTAGCAGCAGATCTGTCTCTCTAGTCCCTGCTGGTCTTTTCACTTCTTTTTATTGTTGATTTTGTTTCTGTTTTGGAGGTGTGGTCTCACTAAGTATCTCCAGTTGTCCTGAAACTCCCAGGGATCCTCCTGCCTCTGCCTCTGGAGTGCTGGAACTACTGGTGTGGCCTCGGCCCCTGAATGGCCTTTTATTTTTTTATTTATTTATTTTTTTTAAAGATTTATTTATTTATTATATATACTGTATTCTGCATCAGATCTCACTACAGATGGTTGTGAACCACCATGTTGTTGCTGGGAATTGAACTCAGGACCTTCGGAAGAACAGGCAGTGCTCCTAACCGCTGAGCCATCTCTCCAGCCCTGAATGGCCTTTTATTTTAAACAGCACTAAGGATGAGAAGACTGCAGATGTGGCCACACCGACTGTAGTTCCTGCCTTTGACATATAGGCACGAAGATCAGCAGCTCAAGATCATCCTTGGTCAACCTAAGCTTCATGAGAACTTGTCCCAAAATCTCTGCTTGCCCCAAATGAGTATTTTACAGTACACCTTTGAGCCTGTGACTTTCCCCAGCTCACCAGCCCACTCTTACTTTGGGGAGTATTGATTCTTTATTTTTTCTTTCTTAATAAATTGTGACTCTGATACTTTAAAAAAGTTGTTTTAGGCCAAGTGTTGGTGAGGCACACCTTTAATCCCAGTACATAGGAAGCAGAATCAGCAGATCTCTGAGTGTGAGGCCAGCCTGGTCTACAGAGTGAGTTTTCTGACAACCAGGGCTACACAGAGAAACCCTGTCTGGGAAAACTAAAACCACTAACAGTGCTTATCTCTGAAAACATCTTTCACTACTAATTACCAATTAGCATGCAGTGTCCCTTGTGTTCATGATGTAAAGATATACAGTTGCCATGAAAAAGAGACGGGGTTAACAGTGATGCTACTTCTACCATGCCATTTATGTGAATACTGATAAATATTTGCTTGGTTGTGTTTTGTCTTTTTGAAACAGGGTTTCTCTATGTAGTCCTGATTGTTTTAGAACTCGCTCTGTAGACCAGGCTGGTCCACCTGCTTCTGCCTCTGAAATTAAAGGCACTTGCCACCACCTCCAAGCCTTTGTTTTGAGAGGTTTTTCTATGTAGCTTTGACTGTCCTGAAACTTGCTATGTTGACCAGGGTAACCTTGAATTTATAGAGATTCACCTGATAGAATTAAAGGTGTATGTAGCCGCACCTGGCTCTTAGAAATCATTTTTGCAGTGCTGGAGAAATTAAGATCAGCAGTTAAAGAGTATTGCCTGCTATTCCAAAGGTCCTGAGTTCAATTCCCAGCAACCACATGGTGGCTCACAACCCTCTGTAAAGAGGTCTGGTGCCCTCTTCTGGCCTGCAGGCATACACACGGACAGAATATTGTATACATAATAAATAAACAAATATTTTAAAAAAGAAATCATTTTTGCAGCCAGGCGATGGTGGTGCATGCCTTTAATCCCAGCACTTGAGGGGCAGAGGCAGGAGGATCTCTGTAAGTTCAAGGCTAGCCTGGTCTACAGAGTGAGTTCTAAGACAGGCCCCAAAGCTACAGAGAAACCCTGTCTCAATAATCAAAAACAAAACAAATCATTTTTACTTATGTAAATAGATAATGCCGGTGGTGATGGTTCACTCCAATAATCCCAGCACTTGGGTAGCAGAGGCAGGTAGATCTCTGAGTTGGAGATCAGTCTAGAGGGAGTTTCAGGACAGGCATGACTACACAGAGAAACCTTGTCTCAAAAAACAAACAAAAACCCAAAATAAATCAACAAAAGATATGTAAGAAGTAACAATGAATAAATTGCATAACAAACAATTTGTACTGTTTGCTGTTTCTAGACAGGGTCTCACTGTGTAATAATCCTGGCCACTTTGAAACATGGTATGTGGCCCAGGGACTTCTTGAACACAAATCCACCTGCCTTGGCCTCCTACATTCTGAGATTAAAGATGTGCACCACAAGCCTGTTGGGCCTGCAGAAGCTGTCAGATCCCCTGGAACTATAGTTAAAAGTCAGATATGGGTGTTAGAAACTAAACTCCAATTCTCTGCAGTAGCAGTAAATGCTGTCAACTGCTGAGCCATCTCTTCAGCCCCACAGAATGGGACCTAATAAATTAATAATACATTGAATCTTTTTGCGGGAGGGATTTCAGGACAGGGTTTCTCTGTGTAACAGTCCTGACTGGCCTTGAACTTACAGAGATCCGCCTGCCTCTGTCACCACTATGCGGCAAACAATTTTGTTTTGTTTGTTTTTTGAAGATAAGGTTTCTGGATGTAACTTTGAAGCCTGTCCTGGTACTAACTCTGTAGACCAGACTGGCCTCGAACTCACTGAGAAACCCTTGCCTATGCCTCTCAAGTGCTGGAAATTAAAGGCGTGTGCCACCACTGCCCAGCTCATTGAATCCTTTTTGAGATAGGATCTTACTCTATAGCCTATATGGCCCTCCAAGGTGCAATTCTCCTACCTCAGATTCTTAGGTGCCTAGTGACCTACAGTGCTCAGCTGTGGATTTTTAAAACACATGTAAGTGTATTTACCTTAATGTTTGCATATTTCCTTAAAACTGTTGTCATTGTGTGTAGGTTTCTGGGGCCTAAGATATGGTAGGTGAAAGCTCTGCCACTTACCTACATTTCTTTTTATTTTTTATTTTCTGTGCATTGGTGTTTTGCCTGCACGTATGTCTGTGTGAGAGTCAGATCTTGGATTTACAGGCAGCTATGAACTGCCATGCGGGTGCTGGGAATTGAACCCAGGCCCTCTGAACGAGAAGCCAGTGCTCTTAGCTGCTGAGCAATCTCTAGCCTCCATACATTTCTGATTTAATAACTATTTTTCATGATGTCTGGATTTGCCATTTTGGATGAGACTTTCTATAGAAAATTAAGTGCTTGAGCCTGACTCAGATTAAGCTGGGAAGCAGTTGTGTGTGTTTATTTATATACGTGTTTACGTGTGTGTCCAGGGAATGTGTTTCCCCCATAAAATATATGTTCACTATGGAAAAGTGGGAGCCAGGTCTGTCCTGAGGACAGACTCAGGCCCTCAGCTCATCTCCTTTACCCGAGCGCTAACATGCTGTCTTTCCCTTCTCTATTTCTAAATTAGGTTTTTCTTTTAAAAGTACATTCGTGTGGAGGCACACGCTTGCCATGGCTCACACGCTTGCTGAGCCATCTCACTGGTACCTACTTCCATTTTTGAGAGGCCCAACATAACATGTTGTTAAGAGCAGATTCAGGAATAAACCTTTCAGATTTAGACTGAGAGGTACTTAGTAGTAGTAGTCTTGAACAGAAAAGTAAGGTTAAAAACAGTAACCACAGTAATGGTGAGGATTCATTAAATGAATTAAAGAATACTGGAACAAACCGGGCAGTGGTGGCGCACGCCTTTAATCCCAGCATTTAGGAGGCAGGCAGGTGGATCCCTGTGAGTTCGAGGCCAACCTGGTCTACAAGAGCTAGTTCCAGGACAAGCTACAGAGAAACCTGTCTCAAAAAACAAACAAGCAATAACAACAACAAAAAAGGACTACTGTTTAATGCACACTGGTGTTTGCCTGCATGTATGTCTGTGTGAGGGTCAGATCCCCTGGAACTGCTGTTGGTGCTGGCAATTGAACCCAGGTCCTCTAGAAGAGTAGCCAGTCCTCCTAACTGCTGAGCCATCTCTCCAACCCGTTTAGAATCTTTTTTTTTTTTTTTTTTTTTTTTTTTTTTTTTTTTTTTTTTTTGTTTTTTCGAGACAGGGTTTCTCTGTGGCTTTGGAGCCTGTCCTGGAACTAGCTCTGTAGACCATGCTGGTCTTGAACTCCCAGAGATCCGCCTGCCTCTGCCTCCCAAGTGCTGGGATTAAAGGCATATGCCACCATCGCCCGCCCGGTCCGTTTAGAATCTTAACAGAAACTAAGGATCAGGTCTTTCTTTGGATCTCCAGCTCCCAAATACAGAGACTTGTTCCCAACTAACTCTTATAACTTAACCCTTTTGTCTATGTTCTGCCACACGGCCTGTTACTTCTCAGTATCTACTTCCTGTGTCTGCCTGATTCTTCCCTTTTCTCTCTCCCTACAAGTCCCACCTATCCTCTCCGCCTTGCTATTAACAATTCAGATCTTTACTAAACCAATCAGAAAGTGCCTTAGCAGAGACACATCTTTACAGTGTACAAAAAGATTATCCCATAACAAAGTATTTATTTGAATGAAGCATGAGGTGGTCCTTAAAAGGGAAATAAGTTAAAATGTGATGTTCCTTCTCTTCTGATGATTATGTTACCACTTGGCAACAGACCAGAAACCACTACAACTAAGGTAGTAAGAAATCCAGAAAAAAATAAAAATTGAGGTGGTGATATACACTTCAATTCTGCACTCATGAGAATCTCTGTGAACTCAAGGCCAAGGTGATTGTCTCAATCCCTCCCCCAAAGAAATGGTACCAGAAAGACACTTAAAGCCTACTTAAGCCTTCTTTTCCCAGTGTAACTTACATTATCTGAAATCACCCATTTCAAAGGAACAGCACACAATGAAATTTCAGTGCATTCTCAGCTCATGCTTTATTGCTAAAAACATATACATACAGATGCAGTTTCACACAACAGTTCCTTTTCCAAAGAGTCAGATTTGTTCACAACTCCCAAGGATGCATAGATTGAGAAGCTGCCTTTGAAGGGCAGCTCTTTTCACATCGCCTCACACACCAGTGGAGCAATGGGGGTAGGGCACATGGAAGAGCGAGCGAACAGCAACACCTGTGCCTGAAGGGCAGACACACCACTCTCCAGTAGATTACTTGAGTATTCTTAATCCTTTTTAATTATAGGAATGGATGGTTTAAGGTTAATGCCCAGACTAGTAACACGCTGACAGAGTATCTGTCTGATCCTTGGGATAAGGTATCAGTGCTGAGGACTGGCCCCAGTGTTCAAGAGCTATATCCAATGCAAACAAACAAACAAAACAAAACAAAACCACATTTAAATTAAGGACACAGAACACCATTACGAAAGGTATCAAAACTGTTTTGTAAATCATCAGTAATCATACCCATAGTCTGACTTTAAAGGTGTTTATAAATCTGAGCTCTACCAAATATACAATTTTTCTGTGTGATGTTTTAATTTATTTTAATAGACTATTAGGAAGAGTGTTAGAATTAAGAACTCTGACCTTACATCTTTACTGGCCGGCAGATATCAGTAAGTGCAAAGAACATTTCTATTTGGGACACATTACACACCTCAATTCTTGTATTCTGGTGGGAGGCAAACACCACACTGACCACTCTAATCCAGTTCTGAATGATGGAAATTACCATCCTAGGTGACATCCATAGCAAAGCACCACAACACAAGTTAAAGTAAATTTCCATCATAGAACATGTAAATTGGAGTAAACCCAGTGAAAGTTTTATTTGAATTTAGGTCTTTCAAATACTTCTCATTATTTGTCAAAACTATTTGTTACTTGGGTCATTCCCAAGTCAAGAAATCTAAGAAATTCTTATGTGACCACCATGGTTTTTGGTAGTGCTGGCAACTGAACCCATTTTCTCAGGTAGATGCTCTCCCACCAGTTCACACTTCTGCTCCTTTCACTGCTATAACAAACCAATGTCTGTTCACCCATAAATGTCTTTTTTTTGGAAGAAGAGAAACTTTTCCTGCTCATCAGGAACCAAAAGTTTTAGGCAAGATCCACACGTTGACCAACTCATCTGAAGTAAAACTCTAGCTCAACAGTTGCAGATACAGCAATGGCAGTACTTCCGTAACTCTGGAGTCCCTCTTAGTGCTGGATCCCTTCTAGAACAGACGCCTCACTGCTGAAAAATGCAAGTATGTGCACACTGATACTATACACCTCCAAGATACTAATTTGTGA